ATCGAACTGAAAAACTACTGGGCAAACTACCGTTTGGACGTGGGAGCAAGATCAGCTTATTCGAATGTTGAAACGAGGGAGAAGGAGCGAGGTGTAGACATAGAAATACATACATTTGAAGTTTCGGTTATAGTAGTCAGCGTATATGGAGTAAAAAGAGAAGATAAAAGCGATAGGCGAGGTGTTAAAAATTTCATATAAAAAGGAAGAAATAGGTATAGTGCCCTAGATGGATATTAAATTAAGTGTACGGTTGAAAGTCCGGAGTAGAGACCGCGCAAATGTATTTATAGAGGGGCGCGCTACTAATTAACGGTACCTCTTAATCCTTCGGTATACAACTTCCTGAAGCCGAAACTGTGATGTTCCTAAAACGTTACTGTTAACTCATTTAGGTTATTAAGTCGTATGTATAAATTATCGCAAAATGAAAATATTAACTCAGCAGTTCGCTGTAAGCTTTGTATATACAAAAGAGAGAGGGATGATATACATATATAAATGAAATTCCTTATAAAACATTGCTGCCAGATATAACTTTAACGCTATGACATTGCACATTAAAAGAGAGTTATTAATTATTAATTTATTCCCTGTTATTATTATTATGCAATGACATTGCACATTAAAAGAGTGTTATTAATTATTAATTTATACCCTGTTAAGAATTTAGTACAGCGTAATCTGCATAGAAAGTTAGAAATTATTTTCTTGAAGACTATCGGCGGCAATTTGAAAAGTCTGTTTCAGGGTTTTAACGATTCACTATACCCTTTATCCCGCTTCGTAGAAGAAATGAGATGATACAGTTACACCCCTTTTCAGCAAGGGAGAGACGCTTATTCGGCAAATGGAGTGGACATGTAAATTTTCGCGTTTTACGATAGTTTGTTTAGGGACCAGCAACGTTTGTTTTATAAAATTTGTCCACTTCTAGACAATTGAAATAAGTAGCAAACACGAGATCGTATATATGTAATAAAGAAGTTAAAAAATCCCACGATTCTACATTAGTTGTTTATTTATACGTACTGGAGGGAACAATAGTAGAGCTGAGACTTTAATTTAATTACTAATGTCTGACTTCACGAAGCATGAATCGAAGTAAGAAGGGACTCTAGCAGGCCACCTGGGAACTTTGCCTCCAGCTTATGTATGTCTACGACAGGATCTCTGATAGGATATTCCCTATCCTCAAAATGTTGTATAAAGGGACCTCGCTAAAACCACATAAAAAGATGTCACGATATTGGCTTTTCGGGAACACTCGCGTAGTTGTCGCACTTGTACTTTGCTCCAACCCAACTAGTAACATGATATTTCCTCAAGTTTGAAATTTAAAGCACTAAAAAGATGTTTGTCGATATGTATAAAAAAGATTTGAAATGTTAAGTTATCATCTTTGCGATGCCTGCATCTTGAATTTTGCATTCCATTGTTGAAGCGTTAATTACGTTGTATCCGTTCATCTGTTATGATTTTATTATAATATATTTTGTTCCGGTGAATAAGATACAGAGTTCAGAAACTCAAATATCCATCAATGGATTTCGTTAGATACGTCCACTCGCGAAGGCTTTAAAAATGCTACATACATAGTGCAATATGTACAGATTAAGAGATTATAATCTTAAGAAACTTCCCTGTTGTTATTCATGACGTTGATAGAGCAATAACTTGCTCGATTGTGATGGACTTGGCATCCATCATACTCTAGTAATAATTATTTTAATGACAAAGTTTAAAGATTTAGAGATTAATAAACACGTGCGGCTTTAACTTCTTCGAAGCTCCGCGTGGCGAACAGTTCGATAACCCGGATGCCTTCGTGAGTTTTGTTTCCTGCAATTGCACCCTGCACGCGACTTCCTTGGATTGGCCACGCCAAACCAAATCCATTACTACTATTTTATTTGCTATATTAATAACTCTGCTTTGTATGCAATCAGTAATAAAGAAACTTAAGGTTTTCAAATTGGCCAGAATATTCTGTATATAACATCCATGTAAATAGAAAATGTGTGCGTGGAGTAACCGAGAGTGATAATGAGAACAAACGATTTTGCATCGTGGAGCCATTTTGCTAAACCATTTCTTGTTGTCCAAGTATATGCGATAAGAAACTATTTTAACGAATTTATTTATATTTCATCTTGAATTAGATGAAATTTTATTCTAAAAGTTTCTATATTCTTTGCTTGCGTATCGATGGAATAGTTAAATAAAAATGACTACATTAATGGATTAAAAAATTTTACGCTGCGTTTACTTCTTGCTCCAATTCGTACTTTACATTTATCAATATTGTAGCATAAAAATTACGTCGTTAATTGTAACAAGAATGAAAAAATGAATACATTTTGAAAAATGATTTGAATCAATTTTTAAGTGTTCTATAACTAAATTTCTTCTACACAATTTTTACGTATAAATTATTTCTGTATATATTATAGTTGCTACGATACTTTTACTTCTTACATGTTAATAAGCTACCTTATTGACTACCTTAAATATACATTTCTAGAAGATAAACGTTGACTATAAAGTGTTACCAATATCTTCGCAGTTGTATTTAAGTGTTCTACACACTTAGTTACTTGTTGTCTCGTGCATCTGCCTTTAGTTTCACTTCAAATGTTATAACTTATAATTTGAATCAACTTATAATAAATAAATATAATCAACTTATAATTTGAAATAAATTTTGGAAAATTGTCGCAATATTTGAAATTATAAAACTCGCAAACTCGTATAAAATTTCCTCCTCTTTCTCTTTACACGTTTAAAGTGTTAGCCGAAAAAATTCGAGTCTCGTAAAATAGCATGAATTGAAACACGGAAGTTGTTATCTGTGGACCAACACATCCGGCGCAAATGGAATTCCAGCCAAATTCTAGAATTTTAAACTTACAATTATTTCGTTATAACCTTAGGTATTATTTGCTACCCGTACGCTGTAAATGTTAACAATAATATGACATTAGTATACCTTTTCACCGAAAATTAAATGTAATTATATCTAGACAACGTTTAAGCGTCCATACCTGTAGCAATTGTGTTGCGTCGCATGGAACATCTGCATTCCAGCCGACGCTGCCTAGCAGCCAGCGGCCCATCGCCAGCCGGCCAGACCCTCAATAAACTCAAGGACCCACCATAAAACGGCACTTTTGGCTGCATTGTTTCCACACGTTTGCCAGTCAACTATTGTCTAAAAGTATTTCCTGTTAGAGTTTGTAAGAATTTCGGAGAAGTCCTTGAGTTTATTAGACTTTCAAAATTCACGGAGAAAGCGGGTAGTCGCCGAACGGAAAACCGAACACATGGCCACCAGACGCGACTGGTTTTCCCCAAAAATGAAGTCACCCCGTTCCACGCTGGGGGAGACTTCCCCATGTCCTTCTTCATTAGCAGTGGTCATAACCAATCGGCATCGCGGATGTTTCCCTCACCTCCTTAACGAAAGGTATGAACAACGAATCCGCGTTATTCATTCTAAAGGCACACCCACACCAAGCTTTCCTCCGGTAAAACACGAGGGCGAAAAGCAGCAGTCTCACCCGAGAGTCTCAATCAGCAGTCTCACCCGAGAGTCTCAATCAACAGTCTCA